CATACAACACACACAACACACACACGCAAAAGCAACCAAGGCTGGCTTCTTTGCCAGACTTCCTCAGAGAGAGTTCAGGGGGTCCAACCTTTGGCCACTGCCGATACACCACCCCCCCTAGCCCCTGGGCCTTACTACTTTCACTCCACATGGGCTATTCTCCCCACTTTCTCCATCCTCCCCCACTCTCCTGCCTGAGCCCGAAGAGCCGATCTGGATGAGTCCCACGGCAGAGACCAGGGACCAAACTGTCTCCTTCCCACGATATTCTGAGCCCTGCTCCCAGGGAGGGGGAGGGGTGGGGACACAGCAGGCATGCTACCTGGCAGTACTCCGGGGGGCTGAAACGAAAACCCACTTGGGTGGGTCACCCTCTCTTATGCGGGACATTGCGCACGCGCGCGCGCACACACACACACACACACACACACACACACACACCACCACCACCACCACCACCACCCCCCACCCCCAGATCTAACTCTCCAGATCAAAGCCACAGGGAGTGCAGCTGGAAGGAGTCAGCAGAAGAAACAGCAGAATGAGAGGCCCCAAATGTCTCATGTGCTGTCCCCCGCCCCCAAGTGGCAGGGCACGGAGGTGCCTGGGCTTAGCAGCAATCAGATTCTCTCTGCAAAGCTGTGTGGCTCTGTGCAAGTCACTTAGCCTCTCTGAACCTTATGTGTGAAATGGAAGTCATACTGACTTTGTGGGATCCTTGAGAGCATAAATGAAACCAGGTGCCTCAAACTGTAGCCCAGAGCCCAGCTGGCACAGCACGGAAGGACGAATGACTCCGGCCGGCTGCCAAACAGCCACATGGTGGCCGCCCATGTGACGGCACCGCAGCTCCCACTGCCTGACCTTCCTGCAGGGCAGCTGCGGCTCCCATCCTGGGCACACGGGGTGGCGGGGGTCTCCTCTGTGCAGAGAAAGGCTGCCCCTCGGGGGCCACTGACCACCTCCAGAAATGGTGCTGCCCCAGGAAACAGGCATCCCTGTCTGCTGAAGCGGGGGGTGGTGAGGGAGGGGTGGGCGCCTGAGAGCATGGGCGCGCTCTCACGGTCAGACCCGGGAAAAGAGCAAAGCAATTTACAACTGCCTGTGCCAAGGGCGCACTGCTGACAGCCTCACTTGGTGAGTGCCCGGGATGAGTCAAATGCCCCGTGAAGGCCTGTTTTGGCTAAGGAGCTCATTACTGCAAGGTCGCGCCAACACAAGGAGGCAGGAAGCAGCATGCCTGCTACATGTATCCTTCCTTCCTTCCTTCCTTCCTTCCTTCCTTCCTCATCTTATCCTTTCTTCCTTCCTTCCTTCCTTCTCTTTCCCTCCTTCCCTTTTTCCCCCCTCTCCTTCCATCCTTCCTTCCTTCCTTCCTTCCTTCCTTCCTTCCTTCCTGTCTTCTCTTCTTTCCTTCCTTTTTTATCTTCCTTCCTTCCTTTTCTTTCCCTCCTTCCCTTTTTTCTCTCCCCTCCCTTCCTTCCTTCCTTCCTTCCTTCCTTCCTTCCTTCCTTCCTTCCTTCGTTTCCTTTCTTCTTTCTCTCTTCTTTCTCTTTTTCTTTCCCTTTCTTTCTTCTTTCTCTTCCTCCCTCCCTCCCTCCCTCCCTCCCTTCCTTCCTTCCTTCCTTTCTCTCTTCCTCTCTTCTTTCTTCCTTCCTTTCTTCCTTCCCTTCTTTCTTTATTCCTTCCTTCCTTCCTTCCTTCCTTCCTTCTTTCCTTCCTTTCTTTCTCTCTCCTATTTGGGCTATACATCTCGTGATCTGGGGTGGGGAACACTACTCCCAGTTTCGGGGACCACGCAGTGTCAGGAGTCAAACCCCGAGCTCCTGCATGCAAACACTCAGGTGGCCCCACCTTTCGAGCTCCCTCCCCAGTCCTATTTAGCTTATTTCATAGATGAGGAAGCTGAGATTGACTCAAGTTCTCAGCATCCACACAATAACCTAAGCCTCATTGCAAAAAAAAAACCCAAGGCAGGTGAAAAGACCGGAAATAAACCCCAGGGCCCAAGAACAGGGGATCATTACGTGGAAGATAAGGTAGCTGGTAACCCCCAAGAGGCCAGGAGAACATGATGTGTTGTGGAAAACTGGAATGAGTCGAGTGATCCAATGAGTTATAAAATAATATACTTGGAGAGTCCATACCAGCAAATAAAAACAGGGGCTGGGGAGATAGTACAGTGGGTAGGGCACTTGCTTTGCACGCTGCTGATCTACATCTGATACCCGAGACCCCATAGGGTCCACCAAGCTCCACTAGGAGTGATCCCTGAGTGCAGAGCCAGGAGTAAGCTCTGAGCATCCCCAGATGTGCCTCCCCCCAAAAAAAGAAAAAAAGTAAAACAAGAAGGAAGGACAGTAAGGAGAGGAGATTAAAAAATAAAAGGTGCTCCTAAAGATGGCCAGAATCATCACTAGGAAGTCGGATCACAGCTAAGCAAACCCTTTTTCCTTAGTGGTACTTTATAACTGTTGTTTAAAAAATAATATTAAGGTCTGGGGAAGTGGAGTAGGGCATTTGCCTTGCATGCGGCTGACCCAGGTTCGATCCTCAACGTCCCATATGGCCCCTCAAGCACCGTCAGGAGTGATTCCTGCGTGCAGAGCCCGAAGTGAGTCCTGAGCATTGCTGGGTGTGTTCCCAAACAAAAAATAAATAAAAGTAAAATAAAATGGGGGCCAGGGAGGGTGGCTCAGAGAGGTGGAGTGTCCGCTTTATGTGTGGAAGTCCCGGGTTTGATCCCCACCACGTCAGGATAGCGCCCATGCACCACTGGGTGTGGCCCCCGAAATAGGAAGTGTAAAATGCGGTTCCAAATCCCAAGCACAGTAAACAGAGCCACCAGGGTCCCATGCATACCTCACCGGTGGGGGCTGGGAGAGAGACTGGCCAGTCCCAGGGCTTCGGAGCTCTGACAGCCCGCAGCACGCTGCAGGTCCCTCCCATGCTCCCTTTCTCTTTCCCAACTGATGCCCAGTGTGCTCATCTGCACAGAGCCATAGTGCAGCCTGTAGGGGTGTGCAAACGGAAAGGTGCACTCAGCCCCGACCCTCTCAACACTGCAGGGGCAGCCTGAGTGGTGTCTGACTGGATCCTCCGAACTGGGCATTGAACAGATGAGCAAGGGCTCAGAGAGGTCACAAAACTCACCAGTCACATAGCACTGGAAGCACAGGGGTGAGGTCTGCACCCACAATTAGAAACTGTGCACAGCACGGCGCTCAGGAGGGGGTTCTCTTTGCAACTCCCAGGCCCCTGCTCCCAGAGATCTGCCCTGTTTTAGCCTCCCCACCAGTCTGCATGTGCATCAGCTTCATCAGAAGTCATTCTGGGTCAAGCCCCAGCAGCTTAAGGACCTCAGGCGCAGGCAGGCGGGCTGTCACTTTCAGGTTAAAGGCCAGATGCTAGGCCTGGAATTTGGGCTAATAACCAGAGGCAGCCGCATCCGGCTGAGGACCTCAGTGGGTCCTTTCCAAACCACCCTATGGGAAGCTGCAGAGGGTACAGGCCTGACTCCCCTGGGACGTTCTGCCCTTCCTCCCCAGGAATCGTCCGATACCTGAGAAGCACGCAGAGAAGAACTGGGCGCCCTCCCCCTGCACCCTTAAAAATCAACAGAAAAGAAAGAGGTCAGGGCTGGAGCGATAGTACAGTGGATAAGGCATTTGCTTTGTACCTGGGTTCGATTCCCAGCATCCCATATGGTCCCCCAAGCACCACCAGTAATTCTTGAGTGCATGAGCCAGGAGTAACCCCTGTGCATTGCTGGGTGAGACCCAAAAAAGCAAAAAGTAAAAAGAAAGAAAGAAAGAAAGAAAAAGAAAGAGAAGGTCCCGATCTGGTGGCTAGTCCTGATTTCCATAATGTGAGCTCCCTTTCCCAAAGCCAAGTTCAAACTTTTGGGACATCACTGAATACACACCGGGCAGAGCTGCGTACAGCCAGGCGCAAGTGAGCTGTGGTGCCAATGCAGCCACATGCCTTCCACTGAGTCTCAGAAATGCCATGTGACTTCAGGGGATGCCATGTGACTTCAGGGGAGTCTGCCTCTCTCACCTGGAGGCTCCTCGTCTGTAAAATGAGGAAAACGGCACACGCTGCTGAGGCTGAGATGTGAGAACCAAGTGCTGAGATCTAGATGCTCAGCAACAATGTCTAGGGCACTGTTACATGCCAGGCGCTGAGCGCTCCTGTCTCCCAGGACTCACCCAGGGCAGCCAAACCCTCAGCATGGCGGCTTGCATCAGCCTCCAGATACCATACGATGTCTGCCTGCCTTTCTCTGGGCCTCACTTTGTCCAGTGCAAGCTTGGGAACGTGGGCTGAACCTCTCTCTATGAGGCCGCCTTCCAGAAGTGGGCGTGCCCACGCCTGTTGTACTGAGGGGAGGCAGAGCAGCAGCAGGGAGGCAGGGCAGGGATGTCCAACAAGGTCTGAGGCTTCCAGGTCCAGCCCTCCCAGGACGGAGGAAACATTGCCAGGATTTGGCGGGGAAGCTCGCGGTTCAGCGGGATGCTTTAGAAATACTTCCCTGCACCCGGGGTTAAGTGGACATGTCCTTGGCAACCGTTCCCCAAATGCTGGCTTGGGGTGACAGCGCACTGCCGGGGCTGGCGTGCAGACTGATGTGAGCTGACGAAATCTCTTTGCAAGAGCCCAATCCCGTTTCTGGGCAAACTGCGGGGCTCTGGGGAAGTTTGCTGAGGTCCTCCACCACACCCCCAAACACACGCCCGCATACACACACACCTGCGGAAGGACTAAGAATGTCTCTGGGAATAACCCCCCCCCCAAAAAAAAAACACTCCACCATGTGACAGCCCCCCCACCCCCCTCGGTAAGGAAGTCAGAATTTGTCCCCTCAAATACATGAACAGAAATTCTGTTATGGTGACAAAACTAAAACAACTAGCCCTGATTTAAAACCCACGGACTTCAGAGGAGGTGCGTGGGGGTGGGGAAAAAATGCTCTTGGGAAGTCCCGGTGCTTGTCTAACCTCAGTCCCTCATGCTTTCGTTTCAAGTCATTTCTTCTGCTCCTGTTGAGAGGGCAGAACCACCATGACTGTCCTCGCTGTCTGTCACACTCTTCACGCTCTATCCTGTCATTTCCTTCAGCAAAAATAAAAATAACAAAAAATAAATAGAGTCTCCGGAGCGCTGGCAGGGCGGGCGAGCGGGTGCTAGCCCCCTGCCCAGGGCCCTGCCAGTTCTGCGCCTCCCCAGCTGTGCGCCCTTGCGCAAGGCGCGCCCCTTCTCTCCCCCGCCCTCACGTCTAACCATCTGGGGACCTATAGGGAGGGGACAGGCCGTTTTTTACTACCCCCCACCCCCCACCCCGCCACGCGGGGCCCTTGCTCTACTCCGCCAAAAAAGAGGAAAAGAAACTTGCGTTAGGCGTCCGCGGAGGGCGCGCGCTGCGAGTCGCCGGGCGTGCGCGGGTGGTTGCCGGGTGAGCGGATCTCACGCAAAAACCCAGCACCGAGAAGTCCCAGCCCCCGGGGTAACCACAGCGACCCGAGCCCCGCCTCTAGCCCCAACACGGCCCCGCCAAGGACCACCCCCGGGCTCCCCTGGGGACTCCCCTCCTCCTGGCGCCCGGCTCCAGCTGCAGGGAGAGAGAAACTCACAGACAAAAAGCCAACGCCCCCGTCGTGCGGAGGTGGAGACTGAGGCTGGAGGGCGGAGGGGGCGGAACCTGGCCCCTAGCGGGGCTGGCACCCGGGCCCCGATCGCCTGTCCAGGACGTCCAACCCCAATCCCCGGAGCGCCCAGGCATCTCCCGCGCGGTGCGCAAGCGGAGTTTCCACGTGGGAGAGGCCGAAAGCAGTACCCGCCTCTGAGCACCAGCATCAGAACTCCGTGAGCGCGGATCTGCTCGCCCTTCCCATTGCCCCGACGGAGAAACTGAGGCCCCGCTAGCCTCCGGGATTGGCCGGAGACCCGGCTGGAGCCCCTCCCTGCAACTCACCTGCTGGGCGCCGCCGCCGCCGCCGCCGCCGCCGCCCCCGCCGCGCGCGCGCTGCTGGTTTCCTGGAGTTGAGCGGCAAACAAAGGCCTCCAATCAGGGAGCGAGGCGGGCGGAGGCGCTTTGCATAATCCCCCAGGCCGGCCTGTGACAGGCGGGGCGCCGGCCCTGGAGGCGGGACCTCTGGAAGTCTCACCAATCGCAGGGAGGCAGTCGCCCCATGGCCCGCCCCCAGAGAGTTCGATGCGCGGCCCCAGAACTGGGAATCTAAAAATCTGGAGTTTGCATCTCGGCTGTAATCTGTGCGACTGCAACAGGCTGGCAACGGAGTTTGGAGGGTTGTGCGGCGGCTCGGGGAGAAAGACATGACAGGTTTGCAGAGCTGGCCCGGGATATAAAGGACACCCTCCTTGACCACTTGCTCTAGATCAAAAATTGTTGTGAACTCTTTGCTGGATCCTTTCCCATGAGGTCAGTAAATGCTATCCTTCTCCCCCAAATTTATTGTAGTCCCAAACCACCATTTGACAGGCCGGGAAACCCACCTCCCAGACGAGACAAGGACTTCTGCAGCTAGTATTGGGCAAAAAAGAACCCGTTGTTGGGACAGTGGCTGTGAAGGAGACCCGTCTCACTGACGGCCCGGGTTCCGCCTCTGTACCGCAGGGATGCAACTTGCCGCTCAGAGGCAGCGCAGCTGAAGAGAAGAAGTAGAACCTTAGGCCCACAAAGGATAAACCCACGGCAGGCATTTAAAGGGCTCCTGAAACCAACCTTGTTTCACCAGGTGATTTCCAGGCTCTGAGACAGGAAGTGACTCACCCCAAAGCCCTGATCCATGTGGGGGCCCCTCGGGTTCCTTTTTCTCTTCCTAAAAGCTTCCCCTTTCTCCCCAGGTGGCTCTCGGGTCTAATACAATCCCACAGCAGCTTGTCTTCACTAAAGACGTGCTCTGTGGCCCAGAAAGATAGTACAGCAGATGAGGCATTTGCCTAGCTTGCAGCCAACCCAGGTTCATTCCCAGCGTCCTGCAGGGTCCCCAAGCACTGCCAAGAGAAATTCCTGAGTGCAGAGCCAGAAGTAATACCTGAGCATTGCCAGGTGTGACCCAAAAACCTAAAATTAAGAGAGAGACAGAAACAGACTGAAAGAGACAGTGTGTGTGTGTGTGTGTGTGTGTGTGTGTGTGTGGTGTGTGTGTGAGAGAGAAAGAGAGAGAGAGAGAGAGAGAGAGAGAGAGAGAGAGAGAGAGAGAGAGAGAGAGAGAGAGTTGCTCTGTTCCAGGGACAAACATAGTGTAAAGCTCTTTATAAAAACAGCTACTTTTGGTTTTGGGGCCACAGTCAGTGACGCTCAGGGATTATTCCTGGCAGTGCTTGGGAGACCATAAGGAATGCCAGGGATGGGACCCACTTTGGCCACATGCAAGACAGGCACCTTACCCAGTGTACTATCCAGCTCCACAAGAACCCACATTTTCAATGAATAAGTTTTCATATCCCATTTCAACAGGGAGAAAGGAGCTCAGAGAGGTCAAGTGACTTGTGCGAGATCACAGAGGCAGGATGGCAGGTGCTAGGCTCAGCTGTGCCTTGATCTCTTCTTGTATTTTCCACACTGGACTTGTGCGCCCCTCACCTCGATTTCTCCCAGGTCAGGGGCCACTCGCTTAGGTAGGTGTGACTTTTCCTGACTTTCCCTTCATCCAGCCACAGACCCTGAGTCCCTCCCTCTGTCGTACCCTCTCCGGGTCTGGCATGTGAGTGAAGACGGTGGAGGTGCTCATGGGGGGCCCTGGCACCACTATCCCAATCTTCAGAGCTGCCTTAGGCAGCTGGAATAGAGAAGGGAGCACTAAGACAATGATGGTTGGAGGAACCGGTCGGGGTGGGAGATGTGTGCTGGAAGATAAAGGACCAAATGTGATCACCAATCAGTATCTGTATCACAAACCATATTGCCCCAAAGTAGAGAGAGAGTCTGGGGGAAACTGTCTGCCATGGAGGAGGAGGAGGGTTGGGAAGGGGGGGTATACTGGGGAGACTGGTGGTGGAGAATGTGCACTGGTGGAGGGATGGGTATTCGATCATTGTATGATTGAAACTCAAACATGAACGCTTTGTAAGTGTGTCTCAGTGATTCAATTAAAGAAAGAAAGCTGCCTTAGTGGACTGTATCAGGTCCCCAAAGACACCATGGCTTCACTCACCCACTTATTCTGGGCTTCAGCACTGACAATCCCACATTTATCCTCACTACTTGGGAAAGCTGGCTGGAGCGATAGCACAGCGGTACGGCATTTGCCTTGCACGCAGCCAACATGGCCGACCCGAGTTCGATTCCTCCGCCCCTCTCGGGAGCCCGGCAAGCTACCGAGAGTATCTCGCCCGCACGGCAGAGCCTGGCAAGCTACCCGTGATGTATTCGATATGCCAGACACAGTAACAACAAAGTCTCCAATGGAGACGTTACTGGGTCCGCTCGAGTAAATCGATGAACAACGGGAGGACAGTGACTTGGGGAGGCAGTTTGGGGCAAGCGACTTGATCTGTCGACGCCCCCTTTGCAAAGAAGTGATTTTAGTTTTAAAATTCCACCGGGCTCAGGGCCTCATGGGCACAGCCCGGAGGTCAGGACTAGAGAATTCCAGAAGCCAATTCATTCTGGTTCTTATTTTTCTGAGTATAACCTTGGGGCCACAGGCAGCAGAACCGAGGGGGTGGGGTAGGGGTGGAGCCCTCTGTCCTCTTGGGTACCACCTATTAGGGAGATATTTGGTTCGAGGCAGCGGAAGACCACAGAGGTAGTAACTCACCTGAGATACACACGGCGAGCCAGGGAAGCCTTCTCTGCACACAGACCTGGGCCCAGAACAGGTGTGGCCTTCGTAGAGCCTTGGGGGCCCCTTGCTCAGTCACCCCAGTTGTGTCTGCTGAACTGCCTCTGAACCAGAAGCATGGCCCCCGTGCAACCCCCAACTTCCACGAGAGGCTGGTAGCAGTATCCCCATTCAATTCCAGCAACAAATCATCCCCTGCAAAAATATCCCCTGAGCACTTCCAGGGAGCCCCCTGCCAATCCAGCACCCAGCAGTGAGCAAATGCTGCTCCCCAACCCCGACAACTGGTATCTGTGGGTAATTCCCCGAGGGGCCTCACGCACCTGCTGTGGGCCCCCCACAACTGCTGCCGTGGAGGTGTGTGATATTCCCAGCACCTCTTCTTATCCTGAAGTGGCCCCGTGTGGAGAAGTGGAAACCCAGGTCATACAGGGTGGCCACACAGCACGCTGGACCCTCACCTCGTTCCGACTCTTTATTGAAAAATTAAAGTCATAAGCTCTGTATATAAATACTCGGCCACCGCCGGTTGCCTGCAAGGCCTCTGGGAAGGAGGGATGGGGAAGGGGGAACAGCCGCTGGGGGAATAAATAATGAATCCCAGGAGGGGACGAGGACTGTCTGGGATGGGAGCGGGGGCAGGGGTGCTTGGTGCTTATTTGTGGCACTAAAGGTCCTGCAGGATGCGCCTCCCCCGGCCGCCAGCTGGGGCCATGTCCATGGAGTCTGAGGTCCCATTCCATAGGTTTGGGCGTGTGGGGATGGGCCAAGGTTTAGGAGGTGGGGGTGGGGCATCGGTGACCCGCCACGACCCACTCACAGGCAGTCTTGTGGAGACAAGAGTCACCCCTCACCCTTGCACGGAGGTCCCTGACCATTTTTCTTGCCCATCTCTCTTTTTTCTCCTGCTTCCAGTCTGATGGGCCAGAACTACCCTGGGTGGACCCGGCCCTGCAGACCCTGCCCCCCTCCCCCTGAGGAGACTTCCCGGTGCCCTGGGTCCTGGCTTAGAGCATCACGTTGAACTCGGTGACCAGGAAGTCGATGTAGCTGCGCTCCTTGGTCTTGAAGGCCTCGGCGATGATGCGCGCGGCCTCCCGGTGCTCCTTGCCTCGCAGTGGCTGCCCATTCACCTCCAGGATCACGTGGCCCACCTTGAGCTGCCCACAGTTATGGGCGGAGCCGCCTCGCTGTGGGGGCGGGGGGGAGGGGAGCACGTGGGGCGCCTAGGAGCCTGCACCGGACCCTCCCAGTAGGGAAACCGAGACATAGGGGAGCCCAGGTCTGCGCCTGGGGGGTTTCATAACCCCACCCCCACCCCAGGATGGGGCTTCAGAAGGAGGAAGGGAGGGAGGTCTGGTCTCTCGGGGCACCCAGAGGGACGCACCTGGATGGTGACGATCCTGGGCATCGGCTGGCGGGTGTTGGCGCCGCCCTCGATGGCAATGCCCAGCGTGGCCGCACTCTTGGTCACGCGGACCAGGGTGGACGTGGGCTCCAGGAGTCCGGGCTGTGGGGGGGGGGGAAGTGAAGTGGGAGGATGAGGGGCAGGACTTCTGAGTGCCCCGTTCTAGGAGCCGGGCAAAGACAACCCGATCATAAATCCCAAAGTTGTGCCCAGAACCGAGCAAGGCAAGTCCAAGCCAAGTCCAAGCCGGTGGCTCGAAGAGAAGGAGGCGGCAGAAACAATGAATCAATGTCCACGTGGCACTTAAAGCAAATTGTATCCTGCAGCCACAATTGTATCTGTTAGCAGGTTAAATGAAAAAATGTTTCCCCGCAGAAACAGTGTAGCCACAACTATGTAAAAACTCTTGGTGAACTGGATGCCTGGCTCGGCCCTTTTTGGCCATAGCCAGGTGGAGCCCACACGGGTAAATAAACCAGAGGGGCCTCCCTCCTCTCCCTCTGTTGCTTGGGCACATTCCCATAACGTGAGGAAGGAGACCCCACTCAGCTTTCCATGGAGCCAGGCCTGGCGGTGGGGGCGGGGTGGGGCAGCTGCAGAGTGCGCCCCCCCAAGTGGAGCTCAGCCTGCAGTCCTGTTGAGGGGGGCCCCTTGTACCAAGCCAGCTGTGGGAAGGAGCTGCTGCTGGGTGCAGGCCCAGGACTCGCATCCCAGCCTGGCTGCAGACAGGCACCATGTTTAGGGCCAGAGCAGCACGGGGGTGGTCAGCGGGTCAGTGTTGCCGCTGGACCCCAGGGTCTTTCCAGACACGCCTGTCTTTCCAGCACTAGGGGCTTCCCAGCCCCCTCTGCGGTCTTCTTTTATTTTCTGTTTTGTTTGGGGGCCACACCCAGGGATGCTCAGGGCTGACTCCTGGCTTTGCTCAGGAATCACTTCTCGTGGGGCTTGGGGGAGCAGACGGGATGCTGGGGACTGAACCTGGATTGGCAAGCGCCCTCCCTGGCCCTACCCCTGTACTATCATGTCTGAGTCCTAGTTTGTTTGCTTGGTTTTGTTTGGGGGCCTTACCCAGCCAGGGATAACGCCTGGCTCTGTCCTCAAGAATTGCAAGAATGAATGCGAACCGCCTATGAACTGCATGCCAGGCAAGAGCCCTAGCCCTGTGCTCTCTCTGCAGTCCCCGCTCTGTGGCTCTTACCCCGATCTGGGGTCAGGGAGCCCCTGCTGACCACCTGAGCCTGCGGTCCCCACAAACCCGCATGCTGCCCCCTTCATGCTCACCGGTTTGGTGACCCCCTCAGAGGTCCTCTCGCTCCGGGGCGGCTCCTTGCTGTTCCTGCTCTTGGTGGAGGCCACCTGTCTGCCTCGCCCCGGGGCGCTGGCCTCTGCCTCACCAGCGTCCACGCCGCTGTCCTCGCTCAGGGTCTGCCCACTGTCCGAGAGCTGCGAGAGTGTGGAGGCTGCTGGGGGATGGGGAGAAGAATAGTGGTTGATAAGGCTGGCAGCAGGGAAGGCTGCCTGGAGGAGGTGACAGAGCTGGTGGAGGCTTGGCAGAGGCTAAGAGAAATGGAGCAATTCAGGAAGAGCAGCAGGGAGAACCTGAGACCTTCTTGCCCTTGCCCTAGGACCTGCCCACCACTTCCAGAAGGTCTGCCTTGATTGCCCCCAGCACAAAGATTAAAACAGGTGAGAAGGAAAACCGCTCACAACTGTTTTGTCCTGTTTGGGGGGAAGGACGGGGTGCTCAGGGACTACTCCTGGCTGGGTGCTCAGCATGAGCCCTTATGGTGCTCGGGGGACTGTGTACAGTAGCAGGGATCTGAGGAGGGTGGGAGAGAACACAGGAGCCACGGGCCATGCCAGGCTCTGCCAGGCTCTGCCAGGCCCCATTTCCTTGTCTGTGAGCTTGCCTGAACCCACCACGCTGTCCACTTTGTCTGGGGTTTTGTCACTCCCAGAGGTGCTCGCGTGACCATGAAGAGCCGGCATAGGACCATGGCGCTGACTCTCTGGGTACACACACCAATGCAGAGATTGGAATAAAAGAACACGTGGGGGGGGAGACCGGCCCCGTCTGCTCCGCAGAGGCTCGCTGGCTCCAGCACCCTGAGAGTATGAGACCTCTAGGGTGTGGACACACAGTCTGGGGTCCACAGGTCGGTGCTAACCCCCTCTGGTCTGCTGTGTGACGCTGGGGGAGTCACCTAGACTCTCTGAGCCTCCAATGCAGGAGCAATGGTGCCTGGTCATGAAGACAAGTGGGCACTGCAAGGCCTCAGAGCAACAGGAACTGCTTAGTTCCCGTCCCTCCCCCTGGTGGACAGGGACAGTGCCAACCTCCCAGGGTGAGTGGGAGGATGAGGCAGGTCAGTTGTCTAGGTGGACTCCCAGAACAGTGCTCAGGACCCTGAATGAAGGTGCACACTGATCCTTTGTTCCTAGGTGCTTGCATGTCCCGTGCTGGGCCTGGCCTTGTGACCCACCACCCTGTTCAAGTTTCTCTCCTTGTCCTGCTGCTCGCCCCTTAGCTGCCTCCCCTGGCCACTGAGGGTAAACTCCCAGCCCCCACCATCCCTGGCCCCAAGGGACCTGGGGGGGGGGGTCGCCTGTCACTGCTCTGGCCACCAGGTGGCAGCAAGACCCCACTAAGATGTGCCCTGGGCGCTCAGGCTGGGGAGCACCAGGGCCTCGGAGAGTTCTGCCCCTTTTCATCCCCACTCTTTTCCACCTTTGGGGGACACACCCCGCGGTGCTCAGGGGGTACTCCTTGCTCGGTGCTCAGGGGACACTCCTGGCGATGCTTGGGGCATCTTGGGGGGGAGTAAGGGGTGTTACCCGCTGTACTATCTCTCGCCCCGACTTCTCTCCTTCCCATCAGCCCCATCCACAGCCTCAGCTTGGGAGTCACAGCCTCAGACCGCACCCACTCCCTGCAAGCGCCTGAAAGATCCATCCTGTGCCCCCTCTCCCGGAGTCTGTGTGTCAGGAGAACCTCCAAGGCCCCGAAGATTAATTCCAGACCCTTTCCCCTGCACCTACTTCCTGCCAGGTGGGGGTGGGAGCAGCTCAGAGAAACCAGCAGCGATGCTCCAGGGAGCCTGGGGGCTGAGGGCAGCGGACAGCGCATGGGCAGGCTGGCCAGGCACAGGGAAACCGAAGAGAGGCCATGGCAGTCTGTCGCCTGCGTCTGCCCCTGCCACCTCACCCCCTGCCATCTGCTGGGGTAGAAGCTACCCCCAGGCTGGGTGAGCAGCAGTAGGATCCCTGGGACCCACCCACAGCACTTCCTGGTGGGAGGGGGGCCCCTGAGCCTGCCCCCCTTGCCCCGCATACTCACTGCGTGTCTGGGGCAGCGCCCTCACTTCGTTCACGTCCGGCTCGCTGTCAGGGCGATGCACCTCCACCATCACAAAGTGCTGGTTGGTGCCAGCCTGCTCTGGGCGGCCTGACGGGGAGGGCGGCAGGAGGCAGCCCCCAGCCGGCGCGGCCGCCGCGGGGGGGCTCTTCAAGTGCGGTGGGGACTGGACCCGAGGGAAGGGGCCAATGGGGTGCTGGTTGACCAGGGCCAGGTGGGCATCCAGGGGCCGCTTGGAGCCGGGATTGGCGGGGGAGACGGAGGCGTAGAGAGGCGAGGGTGAGGAGGGAGAGTCTGGGGCCCCGGAAGGCCCTGGGGTGGGGGCGCTGCCCGCCGGCGGGCTGCTGCGATTCCCGGGGGGCGCTGAGAACACGATGCCCGAGTGGGAGGAGGCCGAGGAGGGCGGCTGCAGGTCCTCTCGGCCAGGCTTCCTGGGCTGGCCCGGAGGAGGGGGCACGGGTGGCGCCTTGAAGCTGGGAAGCGCCTGGGAGCTGGGTCTGACGTCGTCCTGCCAAAACACCCAGCAGGAGTAGAGGGAGTCAGAGCCCATGGCCACACTGCAGGGCGCCCGGACGGCAGAGCCAGCCAGCCAGCCAGTGAGCGAGTGTGCAAGGCCCCAGCTGGAATTCTGTCCCCGCTCCCGGCCACGCAGCTCTGAATAATGCAACACCCGAGTGGAAAACTTCTCCCGGCATCTGGGCTGCCGATCAGCTTGGGGATCTTGGCGCAGGCTCGGGGTGGTATGGTTACCCGTGGGAGTGGGCGTGCCTGGCGTTGACAGGCTTGTCCCAGGGCACATGGCTGTAGAAGAGGAGGGGTGGAGGGTGGCAACAACACAAAGGGCGTTTCTCCCCTATTTCTGGGGAGTGGGGTAGGGTATCTGGGCTCCTAGCGAGGGGGCATGCCCCTGGGACAGACACTGGAAGGAAGCGCCAGGCACAGCCTCTCTCCAGGGCAGCAATGGGCAGGTCTCCTTGGCACAGCCTGGAGGGGCAGCAACGGGCGTGGGCATCACGGTTCCCTTTTCTGTCCGTGCCAACATCCCCCCACCTCCCTACACACACACTCAGCGCTGACGGCCTCTTCCCAGCACGCCCCTTAAATGTACTCCGTCCCCCTTGCCATGCACTTGGGAGTGAGGATTCGGCCATCATTCCATCTCTTCCCTGAAGGGAAGTCCAGGCAAAGCTGCCCTGCAGGGTCTATGCAGAGGCAGGACCTGGACCCATGTGGCTCGGGAGCCCATGGGCGGAATCATGCCATAGAGGGGTGTGTGTGGGGGGGGGGTGGACAGAGGACCCAGGTAATTCCCAGGATGCAGCAGAAGGGCTCTGGGTCTGATCCCGGGCCCCCGCAAAACCAATCAACAGCATTTAGTCCTCACTCAGGATCTCTGAGTGAGGCCTTTCTGGATGAGGGCCCTCTCTCTATTTCCGGGGCAGAGAGGACGACACCCAGCACACTCAAGGGTTACTCCAGGCTCTGCATGCACAAATTACTCCTGGCTGGCTCAGGGGACGATATAGGATGCCAGGGATCGAATCTCGGTGGGTCACATACAAGGCAAGAGCCCTACCTGCTGTCCCATCGCTCCAGCCCCCACCCCCCTCTCTTTCTCACCCCCCTCTCTCCCCGCCCCCCCTCCTGTCTCCGGAACTGTGGTGCAGATAACATCACAAACAAACACCACCTGGGCCACACAGTCCTAGGGGCCTGGCCCTGCTGTGGCCAGGGTTGAGAGACATAAGACACTTGTGCAGAGGCCCCCAGCTGACCAGAGGGGCCCTCAGCTGAGTCAGGAGTTAGGGTCACAGTGGGCCAGAGAGCACCTTACCAGGGACACATCAGGAAGGGTGCTGCTAGTGCCCTGCACAGTCTGGCCAGTTTCCTCCAGGTCCAGAGTGTTCTAGAAGCAGAGAAAGAACATGTGAGCAGCTGTCTACCTGCAGGTGGACCTGACCCAATCTCTGGGCCTCAGAAACCCCTGAGGGGCTTACGGGGGTCCTGATGCATCCGCTATGCAGGCACGGACATCCCCGATTCCCTGACCAGCATCTGAATGAGTCTGTGACTGTCCGGGCCTCTCTGAACCCACTACGGATGCCGTGAAGCATCTCTGGCCATGACGGGCATTTCCTGTGCGTGAAGGGTGGGTGTCACGCTCACTCCCAGGCCCACTCAGGGTCTGTTGGGTGCTTTGCCCCCGGCTTGCTGATGGAGCCCCAGCCCGGCAGGGAACTGGCAAGAGGCGGGAACATCACTCCTAGTTTGGGTGCTTTGCTTGGAGGGGGCTCGAGGGGAGGTGTGCGTGGGCCTTTTGCCCACACACACACCCCTGGGGATCTGGGCCTTCCCCTGCACACACAGACACACACACACACACACACACACACACACACACACACACACCCTTGCGCTCACTCTGAGCACCCCCAGAAGCAAAAGCACTCTTGGAGCTTCCCGAGGGACACTTTAGGAGTCCTGGTCACACATCCCTCCAAACAGGCTCTTAGGGGCCCAGGGCAGGGCGGGGGTGGGGGCAGGTCTCTCCACCCTAGAGCACACATCACTCAGTTCTCCCACACTGGGATCAATAGCTACAGTCCCAGCAGGCTTGACTGACCAGGCCCTGAGGCTAGAGGCACAAGGCCCCTCCCCCCTCCCAGAAACCAGAGCCAAGAGGAAGCACCAGAAAAGAAGAAGATGCCGAAGAAGGAAATACAGGCACAGGTACAGACACAGACACAGAGAGGAACTGTTAAAGAAGGCTTCCTGGAGGAAGGGGCAGGGCTTCACACTTAAGTCTTGGGGGGGGGGGGGGGAGATTGAGGAGGACGGGGAGGGGCTGGGCCACAGAGGGAACAGTTACTATTTTTTAGGGCAGGAAAGAGGATGTCTGTGAACCTTCCAGAAGCTCCACGTGAGTCAAGCATGGAGTGTCTTGGACTTAACCTGGAGGCAGTGTTCAGGTCTGACCTCTATGACCTTAGGAATCCCCTCTGCTCACTTCCTGTCCACTCACACAGCCCTGTCCAGGCCTTCACGCTGAAATCCCTCCCCACCACTACACAGCTGGAGGGATTCATTCATTCATTCATTTGCCTCCTTCAGAACCTTCTTCAGGTGATAAGGCCCAGCAAGCTTCCTTGAAATGCTCCCTGTTCCTGCCTCAGGGCCTTTGTATGGCTGCTGGGACCTGCCCCTTGCTCCTCCGACACTTCCTTCCCACCTTATGTCAGCAAGGCCTCCTGTGTCAAACCGCCCGTGTGCCCTTATGCACACACTCCACCCATCCAACCCTGACCCTGCATGGTTTTTTGGTCTAACACGTATCACAACACTAGCGAGAGACTTACTTCGTTCTCTCCTATGAGGATAAAAATGCCACCGATGCAGAATTCCTGACAGCCCGGCCCCCAGCGCTGGCCTCGGGGTCTAGGGCACTGGCAACTGAGTATTTACTAAGCAGGTGGGAGAATCTGTGAGAGCACCCGAGAATGAGTCCATCGGCCCCTGGGGCTGGTGCGGCCACGGCAGAGTTGGAACGAGGACAACAACAGCATGGGAAAGAAGGCGCCCCCAGCTCCGTGCCCCCCAGAGTGGTACCCCAGCTGCTCTGTGAGGGCTCCCCTGGCCCGGGTTTTCGAGTCCAGGGTCCCTCCTGAGGGGTAACATCAACCCCACAGACCTCTGACACGCAGGCATCTGAGGCGAGAGGTGCCGGCTCTCCTACTGACAGGGAGCACCAAGAGGCACCCCCAACGCTTTCTTTCTCTCTTTTTTTTTCTTTTTGGGTGACACCCAGTGACGCACAGGGGTTCCTCCTGGCTCTGCACTCAGGAATGACTCCTGGCAGTGCTTGAGTGACCATATGGGGTGCTGGGACTCGAACCCAGGTCAGCTGCGTGCAAGGCAAGTGCCCTAACCGCTACCAGGCCCTGAGGCTAGAGGCACAAGCCCCCCACCCCGACTGCCTCCCAGAAACCAGAGCCAAGAGATAGCACCAGAAAACAAGAAGATGCAGAAGAAGGAAACACAGGCACAGACACAGACAGAGAGAAACTGTTAAGGAAGGCTTCCTGGAGGAAGGGGCAGCTATCGCTCCAGCCCCAACAATTTTTCTTTCAAATCTGGGTTCTCCTTCAGGAGAACCATGTGGGAAGGGCCCCCACGCCTGCTCTCCGCCCTCTGAGCTCTGAGTTCACACCGGGCCCAGCTGCTGAGGGCCAAGTGATGGGGGAACAAAGCACAGAACCGTCCCAGGCCTGAGGCTTCCTTATCTGCTCAGGGGTGCTGTGCACCCTGAGATGTACCCACAGCAAAGCCGGGCACACAGAGAGGTGGGGGGCGGGTCTGCAGTCCGCTCCAGTGAGTGGGGCTGCATGGCGTGTCCTGGGTGGGAGGACTCCGACAGCCCCGCACCCTCCACTCCCCACCATGGCGAGTCTCGTGTTCCCCAGAAGACGTCCAGCTGCCCAACAGACACCCAGTGCTCAGATGAAGCCCAGAGCAGGGCTGGTCACCTGCAGTCACCCTGCAAGGCTGGCTACACCAAGGTGCAGGTGGGTCCGAGTTCCGGGAGGCACCCACAGCAGAGCAGGGGGGCAGACAGGCCTGCTGGGGTGCATAGAAGCCCTGAGGAGGGAATGTGCTGGGCCACCAGGGCTGGCAGTGTTGGCTTCACCCCTCAAAAAGCACCAACCAGGCAGCCCTGACTGAGAACCCATGCTCCTGGGGTACGGAGAGGACAGGGTCCCACTCCCAGTCGAGGGCCACAAGTCCAGGAGCTCTCCTTCAGGGCCCTGGACGGGGCTGCAGGTGAACACAGGCCCCAGGAAGGGGATGGGAAGGATCCAGAAGCTGACAGTACTGGGCCGGAACGATAGGAAAGCAGGGAGGGCACTTGCCCTGCCCGTGGCTGACCCGGGTTCGATCTCTGGCACCCACAGGGTTCCCTAAACCCCACCAGGAGTCAGCCCTGAGCACCACCAGGTGTGGTCCCCAAAGCAAAGACGGAAACAGAACCTGACAAGGCCAGGTTGTCTGGAGGGCGGGGAGGATGGGCTCTCTCTGGGGGAGCAACATAAGGGGGGGTAGGGAAGACCACCCTAGGGAGGCTGGGACAGGGGTACTCTCTCCAGCTTAGCTTCTACCAAGAGGGAAATGACCTTGCAGTCCCAAGACAGACCAGGCTCTCCCGCCACGAGGATCGCCAGCCACCCTAAGTGGCACCAGGAACTGGGAAGGGTTCCTGCCTCTGTGCTCAGGAGGAATCATTACTGGTGGGGCTGAGGGACCAGATGGGATGCTGGGTATCGAACCGGGGTCGGCTGTGCGCAAAGCAGGTGTCCTACCCGCTCTGGCCTCAATTCTTCATCTGTTCTTTTTTCTTTTGTGGGTCACACCTGGTGATGCTCAGGGGTTCCTCTGACTCTGCACTCAGGAATTACTCCTGGCGCTGCTCAAGGGGACCAGATGGGATGCCGTTTTTATGATGCATAAGCACAGGGTTAGCTTACATAAAGTTATTTTGCTTTAAGATGTTTCGTTGTCTTTTGTGCAGAAATTTAATCATGCACTTTCTTGCTTCACAGATTAAGAGGTAGGAAGGCAGAAGCTGAAGGATGATGGGATTAGACAGGGGAAAAGGAAAAGGCGAAAATACAAAGGCAGGAAAGGGAGATGGAGGAAAATGAGACTGAGGTTCCAAGAGGCTGGGAGAGGTGAGATCAGCGTGGGCCCCCACTGCCAGACCCTCGTGGGAAGAGTGAGCCCGGGACACTGCCTCCGGGCTGACAGACCCTCCCGGCGACCCACTGCAGCCCTATTCAAGCACCTCCATCCCGCACGAGTGTACCTGGAGGGACTGAAATGCAAGACAGGCATTTGTGAAGGGTGACCTGCGTGCCATGCAGGAACGCTCCTCTGTGACAGCCCCAGCCTGGTGGTCCTGGCTCTGACCACCAGGAGGAGGCAGAGAGGCGGGGTCAAAGGTAGGTCGTAAATCTCAGGACTATAAAAATAACTGCAGTCGAATGCTCTACCCCTGAGCTATACCCCCTCTGCTACCGAGAGTATTGGATATGCCAGACACAGTAACAACAAAGTCTCCAATGGAGACGTTACTGGGCCCGCTCGAGCAAATCGATGATCAACGGGAGGGCCTTTACTATTTACTTTACTATAAAAATAACTGAGCATTTTAGAGCTGAAAGTGCAGTGGTCAAAAGAAATTATCTTGACTTACTGCTTCTATCACTTAAGAGACGTGTTAAGTTCAACAATTTATGCTTTGGGATACCCAGTTCCTCATCTTTAAAATTTTTTCACTTATTTATTTATTTTTAAATTTTTTGGGCCATCCTCAGGAGTGCACTGGGCTTACCTTCCTGAAAGTATTTGCATGAGGTCAAGGAACAAACCAAAGCACCCTGGGAATTTTTGTGGCCAGGTCTTCAGCACATGAAATTGACAGGATTTTCCTTTATAGTTATTGGACTTGTGTGTGTGTGCGTGCGTGCGTGTGTGTGTGTGTGTGTGTGTGTGTGTGTGTGTGTGTTTAGTACTGTTTTGTTTTGTTTGGGTTTGGGGGCCACACCCAGTGGTGCTCAGGGTTTACTCCTGGCTCTGTGCTCAGGGATCACTCCTGGTGGTAGGTGCTCAGGGGACCAAATATGATGCCTGGGATCCAACATGGGCTGGCCACATGCAAGGCAAGCACCATCCTCCTGAACCATCATTCTACCCCTCACTGGATTTTAACACCTATCTCTGAGATAGGTCTTTGCTAAGAAAAGTACCAGAAATGCATGAAACCCGTAAAATATCACACAATTATTTCTGGCTAAGTTCATGTAAATGGCAAAATTTTTTTTGTAAAGCTGATAAAAATGAAGTGAAATGTGCTTTTATTTTGCAGTATAAAACTGACTTAAGGGGGCTGGAGCAATAGCACAGCAGGGAGGGGATTTGCCTTGCAAGGGGCCAACCCGGGTTCAATTCCCAGCATCCCATATGGTTCCCCAAGCACTACCAGGAGTAATTCCTGAGTGCATGAGCCAGGAGTAACCCCCGTGCATCACCGGGGGTGACCCAAAACAAAAAAAAAACTGACTTAAGAAACTGGCTCTGAGTGACGGCCTGAGCGGAGATGGCTGGGCCCAACTGAGGCTGAAATGGGGCAGGCGGCAGACGGCGGGGCCCAGCCCTGCCAGCCTCCATCTGCCCAGTCCAGATGCCCGGAGCCGCATTCCAGGGAATAGAAATATCTGCAGACGGCAGGCTCAGGGCCTGGGGCCACGTCAGCAGAAAGGATGGTGCAAGGTCAGACAAGGCCAGAGGTCTGGCAGGAGTCACCCACTGCCCAGGGCTCCCAAATCCCGCTGTGTGTGGGGGGGGGGGGATGGAAAGGGGAAGGGCGGTTCAATGAGGCCCCAAGGGGCAGGGCCTTCCCCCAGCTTCTGCCAGTCAGGGGATGAAGCCCACCTGCCCAAAGTCCCCCAGTGGGGACAGGGCGGGAGGCAGTGCCAGTTGAGGTCTGACCCTGGTCCTGGTAGATGCCCACAAAGCCAGGGTGCCCCATGGTGCTCCCTCCATCCTCAACCCCAGTCAGACAGAAATTCCTTTCTTGGGCTCCTGGAGGAGACTCCAGGGGACCAGTTTTGAGGTGAGCTGACCTGGGGTGAGCTCCAAAGCCCAATTCTCACTCCCTAAGTGTCCCCGACCCGGGTCCCCACCCCCCTTCCTCGTAAGACAGGGTCCTGCACCCAGTAACTCTATTAGTGGGAGTCTCAGGGACCTCCATGGGGAACAAAAGCTCCACTGCTGAGACTAAGTTCAACTTCCTCACATGAGCCAGACCAGTGCTGAGCCCTAGGGCCTCCATGGGGACTCTGACCATACCCCAAGGAGCCCATGATCGAGGTGGGTGACCAGTCTGACCTGTAGAGATTATTAGGTTATAATGAGATAAGAACTACAACCAAGGGAAGCCTGTGGGCTGGAGAGTCCCAGGGTAAAGTCATGCCCCTTGGGAGGATCAGGGAGGACTGCTTGGAAGAGGCAGCATGCAAGCGGGCCCAGAAACACACACAGGAGAGAGGCAGGCCTGAGAAGAGGAGACACTGAAGAGCATCGCACCTTCCTGAAAGAAGCACCTCCCACAGCACAGAGGGGACCGTCCCCTTCACAGCTCCCCACTGAGCTCAGGGCAGCCCAATCAGTCTCTGGGCTCCCGCCGATTCCAACACAGCACCTCCCCCAGAGCAGAGACCGAGGAGCCACAGGGCAGCCTGGGTCCCCGCCAGGGCCAGCTGCAGGCGTGAGGGGCGGCGGGAAGCTCCACAGCCCCCCACCCTGGGCCCTGGCCAGGAGTCCCCAGGAAGGACGGTACCTCCATCAGGTCTATGAGCCACAGCAGCCGCTCCTGGGAGGGGGCAAAAGGCAAAAAGAAAAATACATCAAATAAATATTAGGGAGGGGAGGGCCTGGCAAACTCCCTACCCCAGCACACACACAACCGCTACACATACACACACACACATACACACCCGACTTTCAGACCCGCGCACACACATATACAAACCTGCACATACACATCTACACATACCCACACATATACCCAACACCCACACATACACCCACTCATACACCCACAATACACCCATTTACAACACATACACACCGCACACACACACATGCACAGGCACATATACACACACATATACAAACCTGTATATACACATCGACACATACTCACACATATACCCCCCCCACACACACACCCACAATACACCCATTTACAACACATACACACCACACACACATATGCACAGGCACATATACACACATATACACACCTACACACCCTCACATTTACACACATATGCACACGCACATATACACACCCGTATATACACACTTATACCCCACACCCACACATACACCTGCAATACACCCATTTACACACATACACACACCGCACACACATATGCACACGCACATATACACACCCACATATACGCACCTACACACAAACATACACCCCCCCACATACACCTGGACATACACCGTTTACACACACATCCACACACACACACATCCACACACCTACAAATACACATGCACATTCGCACCCCCCCAGATACACGTGCACCCCCCAAACATATACCCGCACACACACATACACACTGCACATACACCCGTGTACACACCCATGTATATGCATACCTTCACCTACCCACTTCCCCTACATACCCACACACAACCCTGCACACACGCATACACCCCCACATTCATACACTCACAAACATACCCATGCACACACACATATCCCCCACACCCACACCCACACATCCTGTACAAACACATAGACCAGAACACGATCTGACAAGCCCCATCCACAGGTCCTCCTGCTCCACGCCTGGGAGGCTGTGGCCACACAGTCCAGCTCTGCAGACCCCCGCCTGGACTCCAGAGGGCCTCGGAGTCACTGCCATTGCCCAGGGACTTCCCAACAGGTGGCGCTGTGACCATGTGCCCTCTTGGACAGAAGGGGAAACTGAGGCCGGGGAAGCGAAGGGAATTTGCCCAGGTCATAGCTGCTCAGGAAAGGCAGCGGCAGGAGGGGGACCCTGTGCCAAGAGGACTCAGCCTTAAGAGGCTGAGAGGAGCCCCATGGGTGGCTGGCCTCCACACAGGGCGGGTGGTAGGAAGCGCTCAGGGGGACCTGGCCAGAACGGGGAGGACAGAAGGCAGAGCCTCCCGCCCCCCACTCCAGGGGGCACCCGTGGGGGGTGCTCGTCACGGTAGGCAGGCCACCCGGCCCAGGGGACTTTCTCCACACTGCCTGAACCCTCGGTGTGTCTTTCAGTCCCTCCTCATCAGGGCTCATAAACTGTCCAGCCAAACTTCCGGCTCCAAGTTGCCCCAGGGCCTCCCTGAGGCCTGCCTCCGAGGGATGCAACCCAGAGGTTGCATCTGCCAAGTCAGGGCTGCGTGCCACGGCTGGACCCAGACTAGCTCCCCCTGGAGGCTCCAGGGTGACGCAGGAGGGCGGGTCAGCCTGGGTGCCCGGCTGTCCAGGGCAGACAGCATGCATCTCCAGACCAGGCTCATGGGGGGCAGGGGAGGAAATGAGTCCCAGAGGCTGGGACATGAACCTGGAACTCATGTCTCCAAGCCTGACTTGCCCCCATCTCCCCCCACCCCGCACCTTTCCTCCCTAACTCTGAAGGGACAGCCCCGGACCGAGCCTGCAACCCTCCTGGTCTGGGAGTACCATGCTCTCGGAGACCCACACAGACGCTTATCAAGGAGATGCTGTGGTGCTCAACCCCCCGCTGGTTCCATGGGTCAGGGCTGGGCATCGAAAAGCATGATCCTCCCCCACCTCCACCAATGGAGGGCCTGTCCTGGCCTCAGGGCCTTTGCACGGCTGCTGGCACCTGCCCCCTTGCCCCTCCCCTCACTTCCTTCCCACCTTACGCCAGGGAGGCCTCCCAGATCAGGCCTGTGTCACACCGCCCATGTGCCTGCATGCGTCCAACCCTGACCCTGCATGTTTTTTTGGTCCAACACCACCCCAAAGACAGTGCACAGTCCTGGAATGGGTCTGCTTGATGATGAAGCACACTGTCGCCTCCCCAACGGTCACATCCACAGCCCTGGCAGACGTCCGGCTTCTGCCCAGGGTGCTCAGAGCTGAGGGAGACTTGGGAGGGAGGAGATGGAGGGGTCAGGATCAGGGTTGGGGAGACGCTCCGGGCATCTCCCTGAGCTGAGGGCGGCAGAGCTGAAGGGGAGGCTCCCAGCTCCTATCTGGCGTGGAGCACCCGAGTCTGCCCCCTCAAAGCCCCTGCCCCACCCCCACACCCAGGGTCCCCCCAGTCCCTGCGGGTAACGTGGCAGGGATACTGAGAGGTGTTTCTGGGGGGGTTGGGGGGAGACAAACGAGGCCCCCCTCCCTGGATTCGCCGACCAAAGGCTTCCAAGCAATGAGACAAAGCAGAGGCTTCTGAGGGGCCAGGGAGTTGGGACAAAGTCAAACGAGGGGAGCTCGGACAAGAACTGGGCTGATCTGGGCCAGAGCCCCTCACCCAGCTAAGTCTGCAAGAGCCCCGCCTCCAGGGTCATGTCTGATTTCTCTCACTTTCTGTGTTTCTTCTTTTCTCCACACACCCCCCACTGTGAGCCCCGAGGCTGAGCCCTGTGGGTCTCGGTCACCCATCGTCTTTGCAGCACCCCCGATATGCACCCGGTGCCGCACAATAAGGCCTTCATGGCCGAGGTTCAGTAAGGTGTGCAAACCCCGATCTGGCTCCCTCAACACCCCTCCACCCCACCTGCTGGCCTCCCGGCTGGTCTCCACGTCTGGGAGCGACTGGGGCGGCTCACCCTGGCCGAGCTGACCGTGGTGGAGGTGCCGTGGCTGCCGGTGGACGAGCCCGCGTCGCTGTAGGAGACCACGGAGCAGGTGTCCCCGCCCGCCGGGCCCGCAGGCTGCCGTGCCTTCATGGACTCGATCTCGCGCCTCAGCACCAGGTGGTCGAAGCGGTCCAGGTCTTGGGGGGAGATGATGCCTCTCACCTCGGAGAGGAGGGAGAACTGGGGGATGCGAGGGAACTCAGCAGGGAGCCCCGCCCAAGCCTGCCCGCCAGCTCCTCCCTGGCCCTCCCCGCCGCAGCCCCCAGGGCTCCCCATGGCCCAAGGAAATGGTCATAGAATTTGTGGTGGGAGGCTGGAGTGACAGCACAGCAGGTAGGGCATTTGCCTTGCACGTGGCCGACCCGGGTTTGATTCCCAGCATCCCATATGGTCCCCTGAGCACCACCAGGAGTAATAATTCCTGAGTGCAGACCCAGGAGTAACCCCTGTGCATTGCTGGATGTGACCCAAAAAGAAAAAGAAAAAAAAATTTGTGGTGGAACTCAGTCCCCCGCATGATTGTGGGCCCTGGGCCAGGGCTGTCCCATCCACCCTGTGCTCTCTGATCACAGAGTCAGCTTAAGTCTTTCTTTCTTTCTTTCTTTCTTTCTTTCTTTCTTTCTTTCTTTCCTTTCTTTCTTTCTTTCTTTCTTTTTCTTTCTTTTTTGCTTTTTGGATCACACTCAGCGATGCTCAGGGGTTACTCCTGGCTCTGCACTCAGAAATCACTCCTGGCAGTGCTCGGAGGACATATGGGATGCAGGGATTGAACATGGGTTGGCTGCGTGCAAGGCAAACACCCTACCCGCTGTACTGTCCTCATGGCCCCTGGCTGAAGGTTTTTTTTTTTTTTTTTGCTTTTCTTGGGTCACATCCGGCAATGCACAGGGGTTATGCCTGACTTTGCACTCAGAAATTACTCCTGGCAGTGCTCAGGGGACCATATGGGATGCTGGGAATCGAACCCAGGTCAGTCACATGCAAGGCAAATGCCCCACCCACTGTGCTATTGCTCCAGCCCCTGGCTTACATCTTTCTGTGTTTGTTTTGTTCAGGACCATCCCCAGTGGTGCTCAGGGAACCAAACATCGGTGTTGGGATCCAACCTGGGCTGGCCATGCCCGACTCCCCCAGGGCTTCAGATGGGTATGTCTCTTGGTGCCTGAGTATATCCACATGTCACCACTGATGGTGAATTCTGTCACGCTGTCCTGCACACAGCTTTGGAGGCTCAGACTTGCGCTGAGAAAGTTCCCTGAAGCCAACACAGTTATCTGGGGCGCTTGTTAGAACTACCACTGAGGGCTGGAGCCACAGTAGAGTGGAAAGGGGCGTTTGCCTTGTACGCAGCTGATCCAGGTTCAATCCCTGGCATCCCACAGGTCCCCTGAGCACCGCTGAGGGCAGAGCCAGGAATAACCCCTGGGCATTGCTGGGAGTGACCCCCCAAAAAGAAAAAATATTACAATGAGGTGGCCAGAAAGATAGTACAGTAGGCAGGGTGCTTTCCTAGCATGTGGCCGACTTGGGTTTGCTCCCTGGAACCACATATGCACCTCTGAACACAGCTAGGAGTGATCTCTGAGTACAGAGCCACGAAAAACCCCTGAGCACCACCAGGTGTATCCTGCATCCCGCACCCACCAAAATTACTGATGGTTGGCTCCCATTCACAGATGTGAGAATCTGAGAGGGGCTGTGCTTCTCTCTTGTGTGTATATGTGTGTGTGTGGGGGGGGGGCTGTTTCTGGGGATCAAACCCGGGGCTTCAGATGGGTAAAGCGTTTGCTCTACCACTGGGCTACAACCTTGGCCCCAGTCTTGTCCATCAAGAGCAATTTTGGGTCCAGAGAACAGTGCAGTGGCTTAACAGCACCTGCCTTGCAAGTGTTCTGAGTTCAAATCCCTGGGGTCCTCACTGTAGGCGTTTCCTGTCTGGCTACACTCCAGTCAGGGGTGTGTGTGTGTGTGTGTGTGAGCACCACAAAAGGGGTTGTGATGCCCCCAGCCAGCGCCATCACAGGAAAGAACAATGCATGCCAGCACTCTCATCGAGCACTGGTGCATGAGCACTCCTGAGACCCTTGGAATTCCACAGTCATCCCCATATGCCTCAACTACAGGGTCAAGCCCCCGTGAGCGGCACACGTGCCAACAGCAGCTTCAGGAGGCAAACCCTGCGAGCACCATGAGTGAGTGTGCAAGCCCGTCATCGCCACATCACCTGGACATCACTGACGGCTGAGAGAAAGGAGGGAACGGAACAGGAAGAGCCACAGGCTGGGGCTGGAGCCACAGCACAGCGGGAAGGGGGCTTGGGGTTTGCCTTGCACACGGCCAGCTCAGGTCCCATCCCCGGTATCCCGTAGGATCACCTGAGCACTGCCAGGAGGGATTCCTGAGTGCAGAGCCAGGCATAACCCCTGAGTATCAGTGTCTCCCCCATCCAAGCCCCCCCCCAAACTCCATAGGTTCCCCAACCTCATCAGGAGTGATACCTGACCACAGAGGCAGAAGTCTTGGGCATGGGTGAGTGTTCCCCCCCACCCAAAAATAAACAACATTTTAAAAAGAGAGCAGTAGGTTGGCTGTAAGCACACACTTGGCATAGGGATCCACAGCCTCCTGCTGATACTGGGATTCTGGCAGCCTGTGTCCGTGTGTCTGCAGCTCTGCCAAGGGTGGGAGCTATTTCAGTCACTGGTCCAGGGTGCAGTTATTCTGTTTATTTATTTATTGTTCTTTGGGGCAACAGCTGGCAGTGCTCAAGGCCTGCTCCTGGCTCTGTGCTCAGGAATCATTCTCAGTGGAGCTTGAGGGACCAGTTCTATGAGGTGCCGGGGATCAAACCCAGATGTGCTGCTGTAGGGCGCATGGCTGTGGTGGGTTTCTCTCACTGCCTTCTCATTTCCTCTTTGCCACTAAACAGCTTGTCCCTGAGAGAGGAACCCTGATGGGCTGAGGATACAGGTCGGTGACAGAAGAGTAGCTGCCTTGCTTGTGTGAGATCCTGGGTTTGATCCTGGGCAGGGAAATCTTTTTTTTTTCTTTTTAGGTCACACCCAGTGATGCACAGGGGTTACACTCAGGAATTACTCATGGCAGTGCTCGAGGGACCATTTGGGATGCTGGGAATTGAACCCAGGTCGACTGCGTGCAAGGCAAATGCCCTATCTACTGTGCTATTGCTCCAGCCCCGGAAATCTTTTATAAAAGAGGCTGGGGTGGGCACAGGGACAGAGCTCAGAGGGCAGGCACACATGCTTTACACGCAGGAGGCCTGGGTTTGAGCTGAGCACCCCTGAACAACCAACCCCAGAGCAATGACTCAGGAATAGCCCCCAACCACCAATGGCTGTGGGCCCGTTCCCGTCCCCTGCCACCAAATAAAAAAAAAAAATCTAATGGTGCCTTCCCTGCTATACTGTCACTCGGGGTTGTAGTTAAGACCTAAGTCTGTACAGTGTAGACTGAGTCAGTACAGGGTGGACCTGAGTCTGTGCAGTGTAGACAGAGTCTGTGAAGTGTAGACAAACTCAGTGCAGTGTAGACCCGAGTCTATGCAGTGCAGATGGAGTCAATGCAGTGCAGACCTAAGTCTGTGCAGTATAGACAGAGTCTGTGCAGTGTAGACCGAGTCTGTCAGTGTAGACCTGAGTCAGTGGAGTGTAGATGGAGTCAGAACAGTGTAGACTGAGTTTTTGCAGGATAGACTGAATCAGTGCAGCATAGATGGGTCTGTGCAGTGTATGTTGATGGGTCTGTGCTGTGTAAACTGAGTCTGCTCAGAGTAGATCAAGTCTGTGCAGTGTAGACAAGTCTGTGCAGTGTAGATGGAATCTCTGCAGTGGAGACAAAGTCTGTGTCGTGTAGACCTTAGTCAGTATAGACGGAGTCTTTGAAGTATGGATGAGTCTGTGCAGTATAGACCGAGTCTGTGCAGTGTAGACAAGTTTGTGCAGTGTAGACCGAATCTGTGCAGTGTAGATGGAGTCTGCGCAGTGTAGACCAAGTCTGTGCAGTGTAGACAGAGTCTGTGCAGTGTAGCGGAGTCTGTGCAGGTGCCCAGAGGGCACGGGGCGGAGCTGCTTGGCTGGGGGTGCCGGCCACCTTGGCATGCGTGTTGAGCAGCTCGAACAGCGCCATGACGAGGGCCTCCACGGGCACGCTGCCGCCGCGGTACTCGTCCAGGTAGTAGGCCAGGGTGGTGCGCTCAGGCTCGCTCAGCAGCTGCCGCGCCTGCTCCTCCAGCAGTGCCCGAGCCTGGTGGCCAAGGCTGCTCAGGGTCACCTGCGAGCCCGCCGGCCCCTTGTAGAACCCCAGCTGCAAGACAGGAGAGAGGCAGGGGGCCCCTGCAGGAGCCGTGGCCCCGTGCTGGGAGCAGCACACCCTGTGGGAGCCGTGACCCCGATGCTGGGAGTCACGGCCCTGCGGGAGGTCACCTGTATTTGCTGCACACGGCCCGTCAGACGCGCGCCTGCATCACTCAGGGGCTCGTTTCATCAGGCCCGGGACCCCCAGTCCAACTTGATTATGAAGCTCCCTCCTCGAACCCCGTCCCTCACAAGATGGGGAGGCAGGCAACAGTGTGGGTTACATCTGGCAGTACTCAGGGCTCAGGCATCACACCCAGAGGGTGCTGGGACCACAGGGGGTGTAGGAGACTGAACTGGGTCGGCCACACCTTAGGGCAAGGCAAGTGCCCTAAGGGCTGCATTACGGCTCCACCCAAGGGTAACTGTTTTGAAGATGATGTCGGATCTGTTCCAACCAAGTGAGCCCTTCCCTTCCCCCTCCTCCCCTCACCCCTCCCTTCACAGGAGCTGTCAAAGCCCCACCTCCAAGGCTGCTCCCTGCTACTTCTGGTCAGGGGTCAAAGGGCGTGGGGGTCCCCCACTCCCTTCCATCACGGTACTCTCCCCCACCCACGCCCTGTTCTTCCAAGCAGCTGAGCCACCTGAGGACCCCCCCCACACACACACACACATCCCACTCCCGGCTTATTCCATGGTTCTGTGTGTCCTGAGCCCTGAGGTTCTCATGTGGGCAGCAGTGAAGAGACCCCAGACACCCTAGGGGGAATCAACACCCCCTACCTTACTGCTGCCTCCGGCCGTGAGATCTCCAGGGAACCTGTGGAGAGAGATGGGCGCAGTCGTGCATGTCCATGCACAGACGAGGCTGGGGGGAGGCAGGCGGGCAGGCAGACAGGGACTTGCGGGGAGCATGGTGGTGCTCTCAGGGATGTTTCAGGAACACACAGCCCTGGGCCTCGGGGTTTCTGGCTCGCTGACCCACTCGTGGCCACACACCGGCCTGCAGTCCTGGAGCCCTCCCCACCCGCCTCAGGCTGCAGGAAAGACACTCAACGCAAGCAGAGGGAATCATGGCAACTGCAGGTGGCCTCGGGCTCAGGTTGCCCAGGAGGTGAGGACAGAGCTGAGCAGGGATGCCTGAGAGGCCACATGCAGGGTCAGTTCCTCCTGCTTCAGGGTTTCATGCAAAGCATGGACCTGAGCTTCCAGACTCCTGATGTGTACAGAGTTTCTAAAATGAGAAGCCCCCGCTCTGTGGGCAGTGGGGTCTCTGCTCTGGGAACTGGCGAGCCCCTTGGTCTCGTCCACAGTGGTGTGGGTGTGGGGCAGCCTCCTGACATCCTTGACCATCAGGATGAGGTGCTGAACCGTGGTGGGAAGGAAGGAGGAAGGGAGGAAGGGAAGGAAGGCGGGGGTGGGGGTGGGGAAGGGAGAGTTCCTTTGTTTGTTTGGTTTGGTCTGGGGGTCACACCTGGCAATGTTCAGGGGTTACTCCTGGCTCTGCACTCAGGAATCATCCTTGGAGGTGCTCAGAGGACCCTATGAGATGCCTGGGCTCAAACCTGGGTGGGTCACGTGCAAGGAAAGAGCCCACCCTGCTGGACTAGTGCGCCAGCCCCAGGAGAACTACTCTGGAGTGTTCTTGAACTCACTATCCAGGGGACAGGTTTCTGATAAAAGATCCAAGGTGACAATTGACATTATTAGCCACCTGGCAAGTAGGTCTCCAGTGGTGACTTCCCAAGAGCCTTTCATCGCTTTAACAGATCTGGTTGGGGGGGCTGGGGGTGTAGCCCAGTGGTGAGACTCGGGTTTGATCCATGGCATCACCAAAGAAGATAAAACAAATCATATCAAAGAGGCAGATCTGCGGGTGGCCCCAGTTTCCAGATGAACTACTGAGGGACAAAGAATAAGTTACATGGTCTACCTCAGAGCCAGGGAGGGAGAGAGAGCTGGTTGGAGGGGCTCCCTCTCCCTGGGAAACTGAGGCCAGCAGAACAGAAGGGAAGGGCCCGAGGTCCTGAGCTGAGACCCTCCCAGATGGAGGAGAGGTTAGAGGGGGCTGACAGGGGCCATCACTGGCTTTCAGGAATGACCCCGGGGGCTCAGAGGGAGCAGCACGTCAGACCCTGCTCCGTGGGCGGTGGGGTCCCCGATCCGGGAACTGGCGAGCCACTTGGTCTCGTCCACGGTGGTGCGGGCGTGGGGCAGCCTTCCGACGTCCTTGACTGTCAGGATGAGATGCTGGGACGACTTGAGCAGCCGAACAGCATCGTCATGTAGGATGCTGAGGAAACTCCGTCCGTTCACCTCCAGAATCTGGTCCCCAACCTGTGGGTGGCAGCAGCACAGGGCACATCAGCTGGGAGCACCACCATGCAGCCCCAGAACCCGACTCACACCGGGGCTGTGGTGCTGCAGTGTAGTGACTCACCCCCACCTGCCTACCCGCCCGGGAGTGGCACAGCGTGGACCTGCGTGTCCCCAAGTGCCCCCGTGACTCTGCAGCAGAGCTCAGAGATGCCCGTCCTCCCTCCTCCTCAAGCTGACCAGGACTTTGAGGGGTGCACCTATGAGTGGGTCTGCAAGTATCCCTCTTGCCAGGAACCAGGACTCTGCTCAGCTCTGGATAGGAGGTGAGAGGGGTCCAGATTTTCTTTTCCTGCCCTGCGAGACCTAAGCAGATTCACTCCTGGTGACGTTCTTACCTCCACTGTAACCTTAAACTGCGAACAGCACTTTCATTTAGTCGAGAGAAAAAAAAGTGACAAATGAGCAGTAAATGAGCATCCCAGGAAAGCGATGACAGCATGGATTCTGACACCAAGCAGCTGTATTTTGCAAACACATAGGCTGGGGGTGGGAGGGTGGGAATTAGAGAGAGGAAAGCAAACAAGCCTTTGGATAAAAATATTTGGGCTCCACCGACTTAGCCCGGCAAGCTACCGAGAGTATTCGATATGTCAGACACAGTAACAACAAAGTCTCCAATGGAGACGTTACTGGGCCCTCTCGAGCAAATCGACGATCAACGGGAGGGCCTTTACCTTTACCTTTACCTTTTACCGACTTAGCTGGCCTTCAAATGGCCCAACTCCACGAGCTATCTCGGAGAGATGCTGAGGCCTTGCCCCTCCCCCAGGAGGCTCTGTCTCGAGCCCAGATCTCTCCAGCCTTCTTGGGTTGGGGGGGCGGGCTAAACGCCCACCCTGTTTAAAGCCACAGTGCCCCCCACCACCAAACTTCTGCTGTCATGTAAAGGGTCCAGCTGAGATGTCATGAGACTGAGTTATCCCTGTTCCACAGCTCCTGGAGTGCACGGCCATGTATGTGGCAGCATGTCACCTCCAAATTTCACTGCACTGAGAGCCCAGTAGGATCACAGCAAGTTAGGCGGGAAAGTTGCATAGAAGCCTACTAAACTCAAGGAGCAAAACCAATAGCACAGAGGCTCCACGGGCACCCAAGAGCTCAGTAAATCCTAAGACAATGACCTGAGTAACACCATTATGAGATTATATATATGGGCTGGAGCGATAGCACAGTGGGTAGGGCGTTTGCCTTGCACACAGGCAACATGGCTGACCCGAGTTCGATTCCTCTGCCCCTCTCAGAGAGACCAGCAAGCTACCGAGAGTATCTTGCCCGCACGGCAAAGCCTGGCAAGCTACCCGTGATGTATTAGATATGCCAAACACAGTAACAAGTTTCACAATGTTACTGGGCCCGCTCGAGCAAATAGATGAACAACTGGAGAATAGTGATAGTGATATATATATATATATATATATATATATATATAGTGCAACAAGCAATGGGCTGGAGCAATAGCACAGTGGGTAGGGCGTTTGCCTTGCATGCAGCCGACCCGGGTTCGATTCCTCCGACCCTCTTGGAGAGCCCGGCAAGGTACTGAGAGTATCCTGCCTGCACGGCAAAGCCTGGCAAGCTACCTATGACATATTCAATATTCAATATGCCAGAAACAGTAACAAGTCTCACAATGGAGAGGTTACTGGTGCCCGCTCAAGCAAATCGATGAACAACGGGGCAACAGTGCTACAGTGTTACAGTGCAGCAAGCAAGATAACGTCGATTATTTTGTGCCTGCTCAAACGGTACGGGAGGGAAACTGGGGACACTGGTGGAGGGAAGGTCACACTGGTGATGGGATCGGTGTTGAACATTGGATATTGGAAAAGACTATTTTATGTGCCAACTTGGTAAATCATGGTGTCTAGAGTTTCAAACCCTCTTATTAAAAAATAAAAATGAACAAAAAATCAATGTGTCAGAACAGAAGCTGGGCAGGGAGATCAGGAGTGTGGGAAGAGCTGGACATTTAAAGGGTAGGCCCAGGGCCGAGCCCCCTTCCGCGGCCTGCAGGGGCAGCCGGGAAGGAAGCGCCCCTGGCTTCACACCCTTCTCGAGGGCTCTCCCCTCCCGCAGGCGCACAATCACCCCCTCCCAGGCCTCACAAAGCAAGGTTTGAACGGGTGTGGTACAATGAACAGGCACTTGGAGTTCCACTCTGCTTGCAATGAAGCAGAGAGGAACAGGCAGATGCGACATGGACACTGACACAAACTCCGGTGCCACTTTCCATTTTTCCCCCTTTTTTAAACTTCCCACATGCCTGGGGAGTTTCCAGCGAAGACAGCACCAAGGAGCCCAGAGTTCCCGTCACCCCTTGGCGCTGGCCTCGACGAGGTCCCCACATCTCTGCCCACTACCAGGCATGACGATCTGACAGCAGAGACTGCATCCATGGGGGACTGTGCCACCCTGGACCCCCACGCCCTCCTGTTGCCCCCCAGACACTGCAGGGGAAGCGAGACAAAATTCCCAAAGGCGGGGCTGGAGCAATAGCACAGCGGGTAGGGTGTTTGCCTTGCACGCGGCCAACCCAGGTTCGATTCCCAGCATCCCATATGGTCCCCTGAGCACCGCCAGGGGTAATTCCTGAGTGCAGAGCCAGGAGTAACCCCTGTGCATTGCTGGGTGTGACCCAAAAAGAAAAAAAAATTCCCAAAGGCATGGGAAGACCCTCATTCCTGTTACCACACCCACCTCTGTGCAGCTCAAGGGGAGGGGGGGACAGCCAGGGAATCTCCAGATTCCAAGCTACTGCTTCCCACAATGGGACAGTAATCTGGTAATCTGGTCACCATAATTGATCCTCCACACAGTTTTTGTTTTGTCTCTGCTCAGGGATGGCTCTGCACTTAGGGATCACTCCTGGCAGGGCTCAGGGGGCCCACTGGGGTGTTGGGGATTGAACCTGGGTCAGCTGTAAGGCCAGCGCCCTCCCTGCTGTCTTATCTCTCCAGCCCCTACTTCTCCTTCATTAATATTCTCAATATCCTGCAGACCAGGACTCATGGCTCTCCCTTTCTCTTGCCAGGCAGGATAAGGATGCAGAGAGGTTGGGGAACCTCAGCTGGTGGTCACAGAGCCAAGGAAGAGGCCTGTGAAGGGGACACCTCCAGGGAGATCGGCCCTACCCCTCAAACGTCTCCTTCTCTGGGGTTGCTGCCAGGAACTTTGCAGGGAGCTCATCAAGGCTCAGGACCCCGCACTGACGGCCACCACTGCTGTCCTGCCTCTCGGCCAGATCAGGCAAATCATCCACCGATCCTTCCTCACCCCAGCCATCTCCTCCTCCTCCACCCTGACTGAGAACCCCTCATTCCTCACCCCCATAGAGAGACCTGGGCCAGAACCCTCCCCATGGCCCTCCAGATCTACAACCATCCAACAACCTCTCTGCCATCCCAGGAGAGGAGTGGGGAGGCATGGTGGTCGGGGGTTTTGAAGACAATCAGACTCAGCCATTTCGAGAAAAGGTACCCAGCATCACCTCTGCTGTCTTTGTACAGATAAACAAATAAAAAAGGACCTCTTCCTCAAAACAAAACAAACAAACAAAAAAACAAAGACAATCAGATTCATGTCAGGGCCTGGGTCCACACACCACGGGACTTCAAAGCAAAGCCCCCCAAAACTCTGTGCCTCGTGTCTGAAAAAGGGCTGCCAAGTCCTCCAAACTTGGGGTTTCTCCCCAGCAATACTCCGCGGGCTGAGGGCCCACTCCCTGCCCAGTGGACCAGACAGTTCAAAGCTGCAGCCCGTGTCGGTGTGGGGTGCAGTGGAGCTGGGAGCCACCATGGTTACTATCAGTGAAACAGCAAAGGGGACAGAACCAGCTTCGAGCATAGGGGATCAAACTTGGGGACTCTCGCAGCCCAGACACGTGCTCTGTCTCTGAGCTCTGTCCCTGGCCCTGGAACTCTGGAGTCCTAGCCAGCCCTCCGCTTCCGCCACATTCTTATCCACGGCTTAAGATCTGGGATTCCCTAAGGATAGTAGAGATAAAGGCCAGGAGGGTGGCCCCACGGCTTGGAAGTCGATCTCATGTGCTGGGGGAAAAGGCAGAAGGGATGGAGAAGAGACCACTAAGTAAATGATGGTTGGAGGGACCACTCGGGATGGCAGATGCGTGCTGAAAGTAGGCTATGTACCAAACATGATGGCTATTTAGTGCCTATATTGCAAACCTTATGGAGAGAGAGTATAAGAGGAAATGTGTCTGCCACAGAGGCAGGGGAGGGGAGGGGTGGGGGTGGTGGGAGGGATACTGGGAACACTGGTGGTGGAGAATGGGCACTGGTGGAGGGATGGGCGCTTGAACATTGTTTGGCTGAAACAATAAAAATTGTTTCATTGTTACAAATCGTGAAAATTTGTAAGTCTATAACTATCATCTCACAATGATTCATTAAAATAAAACAATAAAATAATAAAATGAAAGATCTGAGATTTTCCCAAAGCCTTGAGTCCCAGAGCTGAGAACCTGGGACTTCGCTGAGAATTCGGGCAGCCCAGCCCCAGCTGCTCAGCTGAGGACGTGACCCAGGCGCAAGTCCTCAGATGTGAAGACTTCCCCCACAACCCCGGCCTCGGCCTCCCTGCCTGCCCAGCCCCCTTCCCCGACATCAGGGAGCGGAGACGAGGAATGATGAACTGGCCTCTGGGTGCAGCGGCTGCCCGCGCCCTCTGCCCATGCCACCCCACCGCTCCACCCCCCCGTGGACCACCACCACCTCCTGCCTCTCTGAGCTGGGGCGCAGGGGCGCTGCTCACCCACAGGAAAATCCCCTTTCTGGAAGCGGCCCCCTCAACAGCTTTCACTCTGGCACAGGGCGGGGAACCCATCCCGCCCGCCCACGCAGCCTTAATTTCATGCTGGCAGTTTAATGACAGGAGCCAGCATCCGGGAGGCCATCTGGGAGGGCTTCCCTCATGTGCAAGCCTCTCCCGAGGGCTGGGGG